ATTTATTTATTTATTTATTTTTGCGGAACTAGGGATTGAACTCAGGCCCTTGCGCTTGCCGTGGAAGGGCTTATTCCACTGAAACATCTCCCTGGCATTTAACCTTATTCTTGAAGGAAGATTCTACTGAAAATAGATACCGTTTCAACTAACAAACTGACAAAGACTCCAAACATTTGATTAACTTTGCTTATACAGATTGAAAGAGCCAGGCCTGGTCATGCATACTTGTAATCTTAGTTCTCAGGTGGTTGTGGGAGAATAACTGTTCTGAGTTCAAGTCCAGCCTGAACTCTGCAGTGAGATCCTGCTTACACACACACACACACACACACACACACACACACACACACACAGAACTGAAGAAACAGGGATACATGTATACTGTTAGTAGGACCATAAATTGACACAATCTTTGTAGAAAGCTATTTTCCAGGATCTGCCAAAAATTAAAATGCACAAAATAGGTACAACAACACATATCCATAATCCTAGCTATTTGGGAGGTTAAAGTAGAAGCATCGTGAGTATGAGGCCAGCATGGGAACCATAGTAAGATCTTACTTAAAAAAAAGCACAAGCCTTCTGACCTAGGAGCTCTAATTTTATATTTTACAGCAATTTATTATGTACAAATGACTTGCACACAAGGTATATTATTGTATATTTATACACTACAACATTCTGTAATTGTAAAAAAATAATCATTTATTGACATAAGACAATCTCAAAAATATTACGTAGAAAGTACAAGCCGAAGATTAGTGTACACTGTATAGTACCATCTATGGAAAATATCTCTAACAAGATATTTAAGGACCTGATAAAACTTTAGGAAGGAGGAACTTCAAAAAGAAGGAAATATATTGTATATTGTTGTCTTTTGAATGTGAATATACTACATATTCTTTTGAAACAAATTTTCTTTTCATAAAAGAGAGACATTATTTTGAAATGAAAACTAGGATTCCAAGGACCAGTGAGATAGCTCAGTGGAAGAAGAGCCTCTGAAGGGAGCACAAGGACTGGGGTTTGATCCTGGGCACCACATGCCACGCTGGTCCCACCCCCAGGCGCGCTGAGACCAGGCACAGTGGCGCATGCCCGTAATCCCAGCGCTGGGGCGGCTGAAAACAGGAAGATCACTAACAAAAGAAAACTAGGATTCCAGGCTGCACACACTGCCATGCCCGAGTCCTGGCTACTTGGGGGGTTGAGAAAGGAGCTCACAAGTTCCCATCCAGCTGTGAGCAAAAACAATTACCACATCTCAAAGAAACAAGTGAAAAGAAAAGAAAAAGCAAATCAAAACAGAAACAAAAACCAGTATTACAAGCAGATAAAATTGTGTTACATAAATTCCAATTAGTAGGTACTGTATTTCTTACATTCGACTGATAAACTTCTCTATTATTCCACTGAGTCTTTCAGGCTCCATCAATTTGTTTACCAGTTCCTGCTCAATAGCCATTAGGGCCAGGCCACTAAGCTTCTCTTGTCCCATAGTATGAAATAAGTATGTTTTAAGACGAGGCAGTGTAGAAAACAAGTTTGCACTACTTGCTGATGTAACTGGCCAAGACAAAGCAATATGTAATAGCTTTGAGATACAAGGAATATTGTTGTGAAGACCATGCTGAATAAATAGATAGCCAAGAGTAAGGAAATTGATGGAAGCATTATCTATGACAAAGTTGAGTTTTGCATAGTGCCGATAAAATCTAAGTTCAGGGATAATATCTGCATCAAGTTTATAAAATTCTTGAACATGTTTGGCTGTTGTTTCATTTAATGGTTCATTCCATTTAAGTAATAGCTCTGAAATTTGCTTCATTTTGCAATAATCAAACTCTGAAAAATACAATTTTAAATTCTGTAATATAATATCCAATCCTTGGTAATAAACATTAATTTTATATTGTTCTTCTGTTGAAGTAGGAAAAAACATATTCTCTGAATTGTCAGCATCTGTTTTCTGAATTTTTCTTCTTTTTTGGAGGGTAGGCTTTTCAACTTCAAAACCTTCACTGATAATTTTTCTACATATGTCTTGTGCTCCATCCCAGAGAGTTTTGAAATATACATCATTTTTTTCAGATGATAAACATTCCAAAATGGCTTCTATTTTTGAAGACAAAGAAAAAATGTCTATGGTTTCACTTTGAAGCTCTTTGGAAAGAATTCCTGTAACACTTAGCACTCGATAAAGGAATTTTAAACAAAAAATAAACTCAAATTTGCAAACCAGTGTTAACAAATCATTCAATTCATCAGCCAAACTTGTGTCTGAAGAATGGCCTGACACAACCTCCAGTGTTTCAATGATTTCTGGAAGCTTCTCAATCACAGACAGCAATGTCCGGTCATGGACTATCCAGCACGACTGTGATGTATGTTTACTGCATGTTTTGTTTTGACTTAGCTTACAAATGTCTTGAAATTTTGCCAGCATTTCTTCAGACACATAAATAGTATTGAACAAAGAACTTAGGGTATTTAGAGCACCTCGGAGTTCTTTTATTTCTTTGCAAAACCTAATTACTGCTAAATCAAAAAAATGTGCATAACAATGTAGATACAGAGCTCTTGGCTCTTCCTTCTTGAATTCTGCTGCAATTTTATTAAATTTGACCCTCAAGTTGACAGTACTGTCATAGGCCTGGCCACAAATTGTATTAAAATCAACTCCAATTTGCTGCAGATAAGTTCTGATACTGCTGTGTAAGTGGGTCCCAGTCTTCTCTTCATTATCAACAAACCCCAAGAATCTTTCCTTAATTACAATAGCCTTGGATGTTTTCTGTGGGTATCTTACACAAACTGAAAGCTGTTCTTTGGTGGCATTACCAGTTATCTCATCACATATAATTGAAAAAGCTGAGGAGGCATTGACCTCATTCACAATATCCTGCAACATTTCCATCTTTATTACTTGAAAAATATCAGCTTGGATTTGTGTACTATTATAGAAATCAACTTGTGAATTCGTAAGTTGATATATTTCTTCTCCTTTGTCTTTCGCTCTCATTTCTAACAATTCTAAAAAGTTGCCTTTATTCACAGAAGAAACAGAATGGTCATTGCCCCTTAAGGGTAAACACTGTTTTCCAAGAAACAAAATATTTTCAACTATAAGTTTTAGGTACTGTTTTTGCTCCTCAATCTGCTTTGGATGATTAGATAAATTATCACTGACAGCTTCAGTACAAAACTGGTATTTCTTCCAAAACTGCAAGGACTTCAAATGCATTTCACTTTTTTCATGCTTTCTGAATTTTTCCAGCATTTTTTTCCAGTTCGAAGTTCCTTGGGTTGGAAATGACTCTCCTCCACAGCCAAAACTTTTTTGGCAGAACAACTGGCAGGAATAACAAAATGTTACATCTTTTTTATTTATATTTATGCGCTGACGATTTGAACACCAAGATTTTCTAATGCTCTGTGGCCTATCTTTAACTCTGTGCACTTTCGATGTGAATTTTGTATGAGAGAGTCCATTACTCACTTTCACGCTGCACGCAGGATCCGGGCTTAGCGCTTCCCCTTTCTGCACTTCTATGCTGGCATCAGCTGTGCACGGACCCAGTACTGGAGGGGACGGCAAGGGGCTTGGTTGTTCCACCCCGCTAACAGCACCACTGCCGGGGTCCCTGGGTGAACTCTTTGGGATCTGTAGGTAAAATGATAAAATAACTCTGGTTTTAGCAGTTTTCCAAGAGTCAAAACATCAAGCATCTATTCTATTTTGGAGCACTTTAGGTTTCAGATTTTCAGATTAGGCAGCATGCTCACTCTGTTTTGTTTTTTTTTTTTTTTTCAGAACCGGGGATTGAACTCAGACCCTTGTGCTTGCCAGGGAAGCACTTATTCCACTGAGCCATCTCCCCAGCAAGCATCTATTCTAGTAACACAGTTAAATAAATTTTTTTAACCTTTTTGCTTTTTGACTAACCATTACTTGTAACTAATCTGCAATGTAGATGTAGCATTAAATCTTTAAAAAGTCCTTCTGGTATATAATTTTAACATAGTTTTTATTGTTTGGATGCCTAGAGCTGTTTAATAAATATAACCTCCCAAAGAAAACAATATGACTAATAAGACGTGTGTAAACATTCTTATAAACACATTCACGTATGTACCCAAAACAATTAGGATAAAACTTACATCTGTAATGACATTTGCTGGTACTGAAGAAACTGTACCTGTTAAAATAAACAGAAGCATAATTCAAGATTTCATACCATCATCTACAAAATAGCCTCATAAACAGTAATGACTTATCCCCTATCAGGAAACAAACCCAAAATGTAACAAACAAATTCAGTAAGCATGACAAGACTGTTTCTATGTCAAATGTCTGCACACCAGCTTTTACCTTGCAAGATCTCTGTGTTCATGATGGGCAGGGCAGCATCATTATCTGCTAATGACATTATATTGCTTATGACTGGAATTAAATCTTTCTTTGGAGAAAGGTGCTCCATCGAAATACTGTGCATTGTGGAAACATTTACTGGTAAAAATAAAAATATTCTTATAATTTGGGCAGAATCAGTCAATCAATCAATCAATCAGAAAGCAATGTTTGACAAGTATTCTGGGCTAAGGATGTAGCTAGAGTGCTTATCTGGATGCATAAATCCCAGAGCTGGATCCCCAGTTCCACAAAAAAACCAAACCCCCACCATATAAAAAAGCCAAAGATGTTTCAAGGAACAGTGCAAATACAAAATATCTTAGTATTGTTAGGAACTATAGTAAGTTTTGCTAGGGCTACATCCTTAACCCTTTTTTAAAAAAAATTATTATTTTGTTTTGCTTTGAGACAGGATCTTACTATAGTTTAGTGGCCTCAAGCTTACTAAGCAGCCCAGGATGGCCTTGAATTGGTGGTGATCCCCTTGCTTCAGCCTCTTACACGCAGGGATTACAGGTGTCAGCCACCATGCCCAGCTTCAAGCCTCTTAATCTTTATTTTTAAGACAGGGTTTTGCTAAATTGGAAAGTTGTCCAGGCTGGGTCTGAATTTGTGAGCCTCCTGCATCAGTTTCCCAAAGTTCTGGGATTACAGGATATGTGACCACACCTGGCTAAGATTCTATTCTTGGGGCCGGGGAGATGGCTCAGTGGAATAAGTGCTTCCCTGGCAAGTGCAAGGCCCTGAGTTCAATCCCCAGTTCTACCAAAGGGGGGGGGAGAACTATTCTTACCAGAAATGTATTTAATAAACTAAT